TGTTCGCCAGATTTTTAGTTCAGCTAAACTGTTGTCTTTATTTATGTGTGGTGAATAAAAATCTGCCAGATTTTTAAAGGATTCAATTTCACTTGTATTTAAAAACTGATTTTTTGAAAAAATAGTCTCAAATCCTATACTATAGTACCAACCACGAACTAAGATATACTAGATATAACTAGATAAGATAACTTAGACTTGACTTTGCTTTAAATGTTTTGCACTGTAACAAGCTAGCGCTACTGCCAGTGTGAATGATTTATGGAGTGAATTTTGTATGGATTGTGCGCTTGGGCTTACGAAATGAGGTGAAGTTAGAAGTTAATTGGACGTTTTGTGAAAAGTTGGGAGGTAGGTCTTCTTGTGCTGATTTCAGAGATATGGTTGTGTGGAGAGTTGATGATTTGAGTTTTGACGGAGTTGGTGAGTTGATTTATATGGTCCATGATGGGTAGAATGTTAGTGGAGTGACGGATTGCCTTGTTGTTGACGAACCACGGTTGGTCAGATATTTGGCGGAGAGAGGTTGATTGAAGCCTTTCGAGCTTTGACCAGCTGCTGGCTGATAGATTGGAGGCCCAGATGTGAGAGGCATATGTGGCTATGGGGCGGATGTAGGTTTTGTATATAAAGCATTTGGTGTTGATGGAGAGACTAGGGCTGGATAGTAAAGGGTATAGTGAGTGTTTAACAGATTTTGCCTTGTTGATAGCGGTGGTGACGTGTTTTGAAAAGTTTAGTAACTTAGTAACTTAATAACTTAGTTCGTGGTACCAACTATATATATTTTATATCTTTGATAATTATTACATAACTAACAAATTAAAACAAATTATGCATTAGGTACCTTTTTTTTTCGAAAAAAAGCGAATCAAGCAAGAAACTTAAGTAAATGCATAAAAAAAAAGTTCATGGGGGGGATATGACACCCTCATCCCCCCCCGCGAGCACGCCCCTGATACATATAATATACCGTGATAATAACCAATAGGTTTCCTAAAGTAAATTTTTTAAATTTAAATCCCGGTAGTCGAGTTTTGAAGACTAGTTTGTATGGTTAAATTTGGCATTCGAACAACAACTGAATTAGAAAAACCAGAATAGGTAGGTACATATTGTAGATCACAAAGATTTTTGTAAAAGAGCATATTACGATTTATCAATAGACCGTATAGGTACTGGTATAATATTTAACTATAATATGGATTCATCATAACAAATAATATATTTTATATCATATATGGTTTTTTACATAAAATATGTCGATACTTTCAAGGTTCAGTTCGGAGTGAGATGAGAATGGATAAAGATAAAGATATAGTGGTTTTTCGGAGGAGGCATTTTAGCTAGATTTCACCGGAAAAGTCGATGTTTACACATAAATTTATTTGCATATTATTGATAATTTATGTTTACTTTTTGGACTTAACATAAATATTTATTGTTAATCTGTTAACTGGGTGACGTAGGTATAAGCATTTATACATTTACTCCCAAAATCGCAATGTACCTATAAAATACGCGAGCCCAAACAGTCCAAACCTGTCTTCGTTTCTCCACGCCAAGTTTAATAAGTGTACCTTTTTGCATATACTATACGCCGGGTATCACCTTAGTTTTGCGCAAAGTATTTAAAACAATATAGGTAATATTATTAATCTTTATATTTTATATACTACTAGCTGATCCCGTGCACTTCGTGCACAATTCGTTATTTAATATTCGGTGTGTGGTGTTCAAAATTTATCTTAACTTTTCAGTTGCCCCGAATAAAAATTCTGATTCTCAACAGTACATTATCAAGTATAGGCAATCTACCTGTGGTAGATCACGAATCCCGTGCAGTGTGTACATAAGTGTATGATTTAACTCTAAAGTATCAATGTTATGCCAAGTTTGTCTTTTTTACTTAATTCTAGCTGTCCCACCCGGCGTAGCCCGTGCAAAAGATTATTTTTTTTAAACTTCAACATAGAAACGCGCCTCATATTATGTACCTTCGAACGATGTCAAGGAGCCCGATCTTCCTTTGAGTGATAAAATGTAAATAATTAAAAACACAGTTGGCTGCACTGCTGATTTGTGCACATGCACTTTATGTTGAAAAGAGACAACGTTATCAATCAAATTGTTGTGGGAAAGAGAGGTCCAACCAGTACTATTTTGTGCAGCAGACTCTTATAGTATAGATATACATTGTACACCTCATATATTTTATTCGTATACTTAAACCTCTTTTAGTGCAGTTTATACCCTAGATATTTTGAATTTATTTTAACTAATTAACTATTAAATGAATATTTTCATCATTGTATAATTATTCAGAGATCAACTGGGGATAAATGACAAAAGTATAAATGTAAATTAAATTAAGAATGATTAAAAAACATTTTGTGAAAGGATCAAGATTACTGCCAACATTAATGTCTTAATTATTATTAACAAATAAAAACAAAAACTGGATATTTTAATAGCTTTTATCTATTAACATTTAATGTAAATAGTTTCTGATAGATGGTACGTAGGTAACTTCTATATAAAATGATTTTTCAAGAACAAAAAATCCTAACAATTTAATGCAAGGATTCTCATAAATTGATCTTACGGCAGCCTAAAAACACCAGAAATAAATTTGAACAACATTTATGCATAACACCCACCAAAACAAAATTTCAATTCCTTATTATCGTGTAGGTACTTACTAATACAAACAATAAATTATTATTTGAAAACACAATTTCGTATATTATTATATACTGAATACCTACAATGAAACTAAAAATAAATAAACAATTACATTATACTGAGTGCCTTAGTATATAATATATGAAAATCGAATCTTTATTACGAATCCTTATCGTTCACAAAGACACAAAAAACATAATTTAAAAAAGGTGGGTAAGGGGATGTCGCTCTGTTGTACAGTATGTTACAAGTGTGTCACTGTAATGGATGGTGTTAAATTTGAATTCAATGATATAATATCACTATTCACTATGAGAAAAACGATTCTGAGCGAAAACGATCATTAGCCTATGATATTCTAAGTATATTTGATGATAATTTATATATTATTTACCCATTTACGTGGACCCTTTAAATTTTCAATCTTAGCTATAAAAGTTGAACATTTTATAAATTTTTAACTACAAAATAATTATTAAATTTTAAATTTGATAAATTTTTTCAAAATTCGAACTTTAAATGCTTATAATAAAAATTGTGCCTTTGTATTTTTAATATTTTTCAACTGCTATTGTAAGAATATATCAGGAGGCTTGCATTAAATTTTCACGCTTTTTACCCAACAAATAAAATTTTATTGATAATTATAGAAAAAAAAAACCAAGAAAATTGAAAACTGACAATGTCCGTAAACAGCTCAAAAAAAATCAAAATATTTCAAAATGTTATGGTGCTTAGAAAATGAAAATATAAACATTCAGAAAAATGTTCATGTATCAACAGTTTTTCGTTTCTGAATAACAATAAAATAACAAAACTGCATGTGAAATAGAGTGAATATCCAATACTGTAAAAATATGAACTTCAAACGCTCATAAAAATTTAATTTGATTTGCTTGTAGACTTTTTTTTTGATAAAGGTAGACAAATTTATGAATAATCTTGTTTTACATTTTCAAATCGTAGATCTCAAATAGAATCTCAAATGTCAATATAGTAGGAGCCTTCTATTAAATGTTCAAGCATTTTTGCTCAACAAATATTGTTTTATTGACATTCATAGAGAAAAAGACTAATACAATTATTGGAAACAGTTCAAAACCAATAAAAATATTTTGAAAATTTTATCGAGTATAGAAAATGCAAATATAATCGACCAGTGAAAATTTCATGTATATACGTTCATTTGTTTTAGAGTTACACACCAAATCTAAAATCGATTTTGTGGAAAACCGATTTTGCTTAAAAATTTTAAAATTTGTCCTCCCCATGCACCAACAATTTTCACTTTCCCATCGAACAAGATACTAAAGTTGAAAATCTAAGTATTATTTGGACTATTTATCGTGGACACAGACAAAAATAAAATAATAAAAACACACATCATTGTAAAATCAATACATTCATCGCTCCACTCAGAATACTAATAATTTATGAATACACATAGGTACCTATAACAGTAATATATCAAAACTATTCAAAAAATGTCATACAATTATGTTATTATAGAAAAATTGTATTTTATTTTAAATATATTTTTATCAGTGCACTTTTTGTTTATTACTGTTTATTGTAAAAAATGAATTTTGCCTGGTAATAGATCGGTACACGTACGTTTGCCGTACATAATAAATTATAGATAATCGTCTCTGTAGGTCACATACTAAACGAATGTCCAAACACTATTATTTTATATTATTTCTATTATTTCATTTAATTAAAACAAAAATGTGATACTTATCCTAAAAACGGACACCACCTAAAGGAAATAAATGCTGTACCATTGAACGATAAAACACTACAAACATGTCGATTTTGGAAGGGCCCAGTTCCACTTGGTTAAGACCAATCTCTATACAGATTTCACCAGATGGTCAGAAAACTGTTAACTATTAACGGAAATTACAGATTATATGGTTATGAAATTGATTTCGACTTTAAATCACCGGTGACTCGAGCGTACCATAAATCAATCAGACGTGCGGAAACAACCACCTATATTTTGCAAACGACGAGTTCCCAACCAAAACTGAGTAGATTATTAAATTCATAATTATATGAAGATTCTGAAAATATCAGTTTCGATGAAAAAACATGATTTTGTGATCAGAAAATAACAAAATATCGAAAGCAGTCACAACCATGTAAACAAATTCGGCCGGATTGCGTTTACTAGTCGGTACGGTACTGGGTATATATAAAACCGTTCTTGACGGACACAACACATCAACGAGTTCCTACAAGCGGTACAGTCACTACAGTCTACCTTTCGACATCTAGTCATTCAAACAACATAATATTTTCTTCGAACAGTCATGGCTTCAACGGCAACAGTTCCAGCTGCATCATCGGTAGCGCCGATCGCAGCATCAACGCCGAAGAAGACGAAAACTCCGACCACAAAGTCGGCCGTCGCCGCTCCTGCTCATCCGTCTACCGCCGTGATGGTCATCGCGGCCATTAAGGAGTTGAACGAGAAAAAAGGTTCGTCGCTGTCGGCCATCAAGAAATACATGTCTACCAACTACAAGGTGGACTCCGCCAAGTTGGCCCCGTTCATACGCAAATTTCTGAAAGCCGCCGTCGTCAAGGGTTCTTTATTGCAGACCAACGGTACCGGCGCCATGGGTCACTTCAAACTACCCGTCGAAGTAAAGAAGAAACCTGCGACTGTCAAGAAGCCAAGCGCCGCTGTCGTCAAACGGGTCGCTGCTAAGAAACCAGCCGCCAAGTCCTCGTCCAGCGGATCTCCAAAGAAGAGGAGAGCGGCCGCGGCCGCCGAGCCTGCTGCTAAGAAGCCGAAAGCAGTGACCGCCAAGCCAAAGAAATCATTGGTCAAGGCGAAAAAAGCCGTCGTGGCACCAAAACCACCTAAGGCAAAAAAGGCAACAACGGCTGTGAAAAAAACGAAGTCTCCCAAGAAAAAGTAAACGGTAACAAATGACGCAAGGAACCCAAATGATAGATTGATCTCGTACCCTTAAAATGGTCCTTTTCAGGACCTCCAAATTTTTTTCTACACATAAAATCTTCTCACTTACGATAGAGCCACAATCATATTCCTATACCTATCAATTTTTTTGCAAATCAGTATATTTTAGTTTATTATTTTAAGACAACTTTACCTTAAAAACGATTTGCCATGTTAAATATTGTTTGTGAATACATTTGTAACTATCCGCAGCCAAACACAGGGGAACATGGATACCCATAACTGTTTGAACGTATTGTCAGCATGATAGGTGTCAAAATCAAATGAATTTGTGTGCTACAATCAAAAATTGAATACATTATTATGTCCCAAACACGATAAGTACTAAAACAATGTATATAACTCACTTGTTCAATGATAGCTTCAACTAAGACTTTTACTCGTTGGAAATCGTTTTGTTCAATATTAAATTCTAAGATCATAGTTGTTGTTTTTGATATATTTTATGCCATTAAATTAAAAATGTGAAAAACATGTGACCATGAAGTTAGCCCCCCCACTTTGACGGATTCACTTCAAACCAACGCCAATATTTAGCAAATTAATTGCAAATAATTGCAAATTGGTTTTTAGAATTTGCAAATTTAGTGCACGCTCGCAAACTAAAAAAATGATTTGGGGGGGCTAACTTCATGCAGCCCCCCCACTTTGTCCGATCCGTTCCAAAAAAACGCCAATATTTAGCAAATTAATTGCAAATAATTGCAAATTGGTTTTTAGAATTTGCAAATCAAAATTGGAATTTTGGCGAATTTTTTTGCAAATTTGGTCAGCCCCCCCACTTTGTCCGATCCGTTCCAAACAAACGCCAATATTTAGCAAATTAATTGCAAATAATTGCAAATTGGTTTTTAGAATTTGCAAATCAAAATTGGAATTTTGGCGAATTTTTTTGCAAATTTGGTCAGCCCCCCACTTTGTCCGATCCGTTCCAAACAAACTCCAATATTAAGCAAATTAATTGCAAATAATTTCAAATCGGTTTTTAGAATTTGCAAAATCAAAATTGTATTTTTCGTGCTTTACTTTTGCAAATAATTTTTTTTTTCCATAATTGTCTTTCATATTCCATCATATTTTTTTTTATTCTACTTAGTTTTTAATACACATAGATTAAAATAGAAATATAGAATAAGATTTTTTATCAAGTATAGATTTTTTTATAAATATTAATTTATTATTTTATGAAATACTAGCTGATCCCGTGCACTTCTTTGCCCATTAAAAATACCAACGCTATAAAACTAATAATATGTTTTTTTGTATAATATAACGGTTACCATAACAACAATTTGAAACCAATTATTATTATTATTATAGCTTTGAAACCCACGGCAACCATATAAAATGTATAAACAAAAATTTCCATCGGAAATCTCAAAATCCCTGTTTGAGCACGTCCCGGTGTTGGTCCTCTCCCTTTTTAAATTAGCTTATCTTCTGCCCAGAGGTCTAATCTATCTATATATATAAAAATATTTGATCCCGTGCACTACGTTGCCCATTAAAATTGACAACTCTATATGAATAATATGTTATACATATCACCATGGCAACCATTTATATACAAATCGGTTTTTAGAATTTGCAAATTAAAATAGCCCCACCAATTCATCCGTTCGACTCCAAACCGGTGTCAATATTTTGCAAACTAAGTACTAAGTACTAAGTTTTTAAAAATATTTGCAACTATTTGCAGCCCCAAAAAATAAATTTTAACTAATTTAACTACATTTTTACTGTTTTTATAATATTTTTTATATTACATTATCATGTTTAAATGTTGACAACTTTTAATATTTTTTCAACAAAAAATAACAATTATTAATTATAATTCAAAATGTATTATTCTTATGCATAAGTCCATAGCGTCAGAACTTAGTTTGGCCTTCGGGCCTTCGGGCCAACGGCTCAACGCGACAACGCTATACAAAAAAAACTAAAATTACAGGTAGGTCGGAATATTATAAATTGTAATACTTAAGTACCACATAACGTATTATGTAATGTTCGACCGAATGTCTCCACGAAAATTCGTTATTCATAAAATATTTATCAGTTATACCTATAATAATATGTTAAATAATATTAATTATTGATTTAAAATATATCATATTCTGATATTCATTACAGCGACTCAATGACGAGATACGTACATACGATACTCACTATGCTTCAGAGCAATTTCCACGGTTCTTAACTTGTCATTTTAGAAGTAATGACAGTGTTTCAATAACCAGTTTAAAAAATATAGCCATGTGTTTTTTTTACAATATAAATGAATAAAACTATTAAACAAAATTATTATTTAAGATAGTGACTATATGGTAATTTCTTATCGCGTTGCCTTGTCACTCGCGTGCTGTATTCTTTTGGGTTTTTCTATTTTGTACGTAGTAGCTCGGGGTGTCGTCGATTTTCGTTTACACAATAATATTATGTGGAGGACTTTACACAATGAAAAAAATATTATTTAGTTAAAATTACAGTGACTCTTTTCTCTTTTGAAGTCCAGTGCAGTCGCATGTTCCTATATTGTATTTAATTGTTAGTAGCTTGTGCATTGTTGTTATTTTATTTGAAATTATTGCATCTTGTTAAAAATGGTAAGTATAGCGAAATATTTAAAGTTATTAAGAATAGTATGTACCTTTTATTAAAATAATATAATCAATGTATGATACAGCCATACAAGATATTCTTTTAAAACTAGCGTTTTCAAATTTTTGGGATTTTAATTTTTATATGATTTAAAGAAGTTGTTATACTTAGTTTGTTTATTATTTTTTATTTATTTTTTAAATATTCGTTTAGAGTTATTTTACAATCGGTACCTAGTACAATATATTTTTAAACGTTTGCACTTGTGAATAGGTAAGTATTAAATGTTAGCTTAATAGTAACAGTTCGTTATACAAAAAAAATACAAACAAATTGTATGGTTTGATAAAAATATCAGCTATACTAAAAAACCGACCTAAAAGACTTATTTTTTCTAAGGACTAGGATCTTGTTATAATAATATAGTTGCCTAGGTATAAAGAGTTATTTTACTATACTGTAAACGTTTTTTTTTAGAGGTATAGACCGAATTAAACAACATAGGTAGGTACTGTATTATTTAATATAGTTACCTACTACCAGGGGTTAAAGTGGGGGGACGCAGGAGGACTCAGTCCCCCTACCTCTGACGGTGGTTAAAAAGCGTTCCCTTTAACAAATTAGGACTTTATACATTAGACATTATACATACAATTATATATGGAACGCTTAAAACTATATGGAGACATTAGTCCCCTCTGTAGTTTTTCCCCACTTTAACACGTACATTTTAACATTTTTTTTTCTCAACATTTAGCAGTCAATAAGCAACAATTTGCAAGACTATTTTCACAATTTGCAAGCCTTTAGATAAATCATAAAATAAAAAAAACTAGGGGCCATATCATCGAAAATTGCAAAAAAATTCGCCAAAATTCCAATTTTGATTTGCAAATTCTAAAAACCAATTTGCAATTATTTGCAATTAATTTGCTAAATATTGGCGTTTGTTTGGAACGGATCGGACAAAGTGGGGGGGCTGACATTCGGTCGAACATTACATAATACGTTATGTGGTACTTAAGTATTATAATTTATAATATTCCGACCTACCTGTAATTTTAGTTTTTTTTGTATAGCGTTGTCGCGTTGAGCCGTTGGCCCGAAGGCCCGAAGGCCAAACTAAGTTCTGACGCTATGGACTTATGCATAAGAATAATACATTTTGAATTATAATTAATAATTGTTATTTTTTGTTGAAAAAATATTAAAAGTTGTCAACATTTAAACATGATAATGTAATATAAAAAATATTATAAAAACAGTAAAAATGTAGTTAAATTAGTTAAAATTTATTTTTTGGGGCTGCAAATAGTTGCAAATATTTTTAAAAACTTAGTACTTAGTACTTAGTTTGCAAAATATTGACACCGGTTTGGAGTCGAACGGATGAATTGGTGGGGCTATTTTAATTTGCAAATTCTAAAAACCGATTTGTATATAAATGGTTGCCATGGTGATATGTATAACATATTATTCATATAGAGTTGTCAATTTTAATGGGCAACGTAGTGCACGGGATCAAATATTTTTATATATATAGATAGATTAGACCTCTGGGCAGAAGATAAGCTAATTTAAAAAAGGAGAGGACCAACACCGGGACGTGCTCAAACAGGGATTTTGAGATTTCCGATGGAAATTTTTGTTTATACATTTTATATGGTTGCCGTGGGTTTCAAAGCTATAATAATAATAATAATTGGTTTCAAATTGTTGTTATGGTAACCGTTATATTATACAAAAAAACATATTATTAGTTTTATAGCGTTGGTATTTTTAATGGGCAAAGAAGTGCACGGGATCAGCTAGTATTTCATAAAATAATAAATTAATATTTATAAAAAAATCTATACTTGATAAAAAATCTTATTCTATATTTCTATTTTAATCTATGTGTATTAAAAACTAAGTAGAATAAAAAAAAATATGATGGAATATGAAAGACAATTATGGAAAAAAAAATTATTTGCAAAAGTAAAGCACGAAAAATACAATTTTGATTTTGCAAATTCTAAAAACCGATTTGAAATTATTTGCAATTAATTTGCTTAATATTGGAGTTTGTTTGGAACGGATCGGACAAAGTGGGGGGCTGACCAAATTTGCAAAAAAATTCGCCAAAATTCCAATTTTGATTTGCAAATTCTAAAAACCAATTTGCAATTATTTGCAATTAATTTGCTAAATATTGGCGTTTGTTTGGAACGGATCGGACAAAGTGGGGGGGCTGACCAAATTTGCAAAAAAATTCGCCAAAATTCCAATTTTGATTTGCAAATTCTAAAAACCAATTTGCAATTATTTGCAATTAATTTGCTAAATATTGGCGTTTTT